AGTATTAGACTTGCAGAGGACAGAAAAATTGGATAGCATAGGTCGATGTCCTGTTTCTTCACTATGTTGGCGTGTAGAGGAAACACAGGGGGTTACTACATTTTTTTTTTTGAAGACTTCCTAACATTATTATTTCTACTTTAAAAAGAGTGATAATACTTGCCCTAGCAATTATAATAATTTAGTCTTACTTCTGTAACTGAAAAAAAATTCTAGAAAGTGACAACAATGTACCAAAGGTAGAGCATCTGCACAGAGTGCCAATGCTGTAGGGGACACAAGTTTGCATCTTTGATGGCATTAAATTAGATTTTCTTGAAAAGGCATGCAGAATTTGTATCTTACACAAGGCACCATCATTGATCAGTACAGCCCTGGAGTGTGATAAAAGAAGCTTTGCAAAAATCACGTAGTCAAACATGATATCATAAAAAAAAAAGGAAACATGGATTCACTAACAGGAAATCTTGCCTTGCTTTTTTTTTTTTATTTGAAGATACGATTTCTGTTAAGAGAATTATGTATAAGTTGGTATTGGTAAATACTAGTTAATTGGATTGAAGGGTGACTGAGTAACAAAATACAAAACATTGTTACAAATAGAGTCTATTCACACTGGACTTCTCTTTTTTTTTTTTACCTAGTGATGAGTCTCAAGGGTCAATGCTTGTACACATTTTTTTCTTATTTATATTAAACTTTCATTAGCTGTATTTAGGATGTTGAGATACTACAGAATAGACAAATATTTGGTAAATGACCTTTAATTATAGAAGTACAAGGTAATGCAGTTGGATTATCATGATTTGGATCACCTGTTTAAAACAGCCTTTCTTTTTCTTTTCACATGTTGCCTATCTATCATGCAAAGTAATTTTCATTTTAAGATTATAAATACTTTTATGCATCAGAAAATTTTTAAATTTCACAGCCTAAATCTTTATAATGTCCAGATAGTCATCAAATGTTTCTTAAGAAAAAGTTTATATTTTATCTGTTATTTTCAGCAATTAATCTCTGTAAGGGTTTGGTAGATTTCACCAATCTCACAATCACCATAAAGCATTAGGAAATAAATATAAATTATGCCTATTTATTGTAAAATGAACACAAATTATAACACGAAAACATAAATGTTTAGACTAAATAACTTAAATCTCATAACATTATACATTTATATATATTTGTTCTTTTTATTATATTGACCTTTCACCCGTGCCTTGCTAATAATAGAAAAGTTACAATGACACGGCTCACATGCACTCATGTTACTGTCTCAAATAACATAAAACTGACCTTTGATCTGCACAAAGTAACTTGTCTTGGCTATGTTTTAGTAGACTAGTATTTTGTAAAATACAATCACATTTCAATTATTATACATTATATATGTACATAGCTTATTGCTATTTTGAAATAAGTTCTTAAACTTATTTTTCTAAAAACATAAAACAGTAACTAAAGAAGTAAAGCAAAAACAATTCTCTTCTAGTTATGACTCCACCACATGCTAGGGTTGCATCAATTAATAGGGAGGACATCATATAGATCTCAGGCTTTAAAGTATGATATCACACAGCTGCCATGCTCAGCCCCACTGAAAATTTCATGAAAAGTAAACTTATATAATGTATTGTTTGGGTAATTAAGAAACTGGTGTTTTTAAACTCAGACATCTTAACATATAATTTGCATAGATACTTTATCTTCTTCATACCTTGAATATTAATTTAGATTATTCTTTATTTATTTATTTTTACTGAAATTGTTTTGGCAGATGATATGTTTGAGCAATGAAAAGTGACAAACAGGCATTATATAAGAACTGTTTGTGCTGCCATCTAGCGACTAGAAATGAAACTGTCATTTATGAAACAGAAAAAAATATATGCTTATAAACTAAACTCACTGCTAAGTAGTACTTTTCCTTTTTATCATTTCTCCACAAAAATACGTGTAGAAGAACAAAATTATATTACCGTTACACAAGCTGTGAAACTTTCAGTAATGGCATATAAGTTCTCAAAATATGGCTATAACTCAACTTTAGCATTTATTTGTAAGCATCATAGAGTAATAGATTGAATGTGGAAGCCATGTTTTTCTCAACCCATCCCCACATACTAAGCACTACAATGCTTAGTGATACAAATCACTAGTTAAGCCTCAATTAAAATATTGTGCACAATTTTGGTCTTTTATAAGAAAGGATATTGAGTTAGTTGAAAAGAGTTCAGAGCAGGACTACTAGTATTATCCTATGGGTGAAAGTATTATCTTATGGAAAAATATTCTGATCTCTTATAGCTAAGAAATTTAAAAAATTTTCCAAGAGGATGGATAGGATAAAAATTTCTCAATTACTTTGTGCTGAATTTTGGTCTTTTCACCATCTATGAGACTTTTTATGTTGTTCTGTGATTTCTACAAGATTATGATTAGTGACCAGATACTTTGGATAAGGCAGATGGTCAACATGTTTACAAAACTTTTAAAAAACTGATTCTGGTATGAACATTACACTCAAAAAGTAACTATAACATTCACTTTTCACAAATTATATAGTCAAAAGATTCTAGTTTCATATTTTGTCCATCAATGATATTTAATTCCCCCAAAATAAGTAGTAGTGCAGTTTGCATTCCTCTCAAATTAAAATTGAAATATGTTTTAAATAATAAAATTCATTCAAACAGCTACTCAAACTTACCAGCAATTAAGCTTTTTCACACTCCTCAAATCCTGAGCCCTGGTTCGACATAAAACTGTTGTTTCATTTAAAGAAGTCATTATCACTCACATATGTAGCAACCTCTAATATCCCAGGTACATCAATGAGTCAAATCTAGCATTGCAAAACCTGAAATACACAACAGTGCTTTAAAACCTATATTTCTAACCAGCAACATTTTTTCATGACAAGCCTAGCATCACATAATCCATACTTCACTGAACAGCACTGTATGCATTGTGAAACTGTACAATAAAATATAATTTAAAACTTTGGATTATCTTTATAATCATAAAACCAAAATGTGAATGCAATGTTAAGGAAATTTCACCTCTTAATCAATTAAACTTGGCTATATGCCAAAACTATCTAAATGTTTTTATCTTTATTATTAGTTTTCCAAAAATGTAATTATGGCTAAAATTGGATTATCTTTTGTTTTGCCTATCAAGAAAATTGTACTTTTCTTCTGCACAGAATTTTTTTTTCATAGTAAAATGTAATTAATTAATATAGTTGTAGTTCAGTAAGACAATTATAAACTAGTAATACTTGTGTTGGTTGTACAATCAGTTTTATATCTACATATACAAATATATGTCTATTGAAGTGGTGGGCCATATAATTTATCCAGTTTTTGGAAAATTGTCACCTAATTGAAAGTACAATAAACTTCTAATAATGTATTAATCTCTTGCCAGTCTTAGTACACTCCAAACAAACAGTAGCTAGATGGGAAAATGCAATAGTTCTAGTATTTGGTCAGTGACCATACAGGAGCACTGGCATTTCTTTCATTTTTTTACCCCCCCCCCCTCCGAGGGTATTGCAATCGGTTCCGTGTGTTGTGTTGTGCGTGCGTGCGCGTGTCTGCTTGCACGTGCGTATCTCTAAAACTAATAGACCGACGTGCACATAAATTTTACATAAAATGGGAAATCCGTATAGGTCAGTCCTCTCCAAATGTAGTCCGGATCTAAATCCGGATTTTCGATAACTTTGAAGCATGGGGAGATGGGGCATTTTCATGGTTTTGGGCTAATAATTCTTGTAAAGTGTAATCGGATTTGTACCAGATTTCATGGGCACATTAAGGCTGCGACTCCTCACCACACTATAAAAATGATCCAGATCGTTGATCATTCTGGATACGAGAAAGATTTTGAGTTTTCGAAGGTGAAATTTGACGTTATCCAATATAAACGCATGCAATCACGAAAAGGAGCTGCGGGGCGGGGGTATGCAATCTCTGTAATTGCTATTGTTTTCCAGTTAATACAGGTAATATTATGAATATTCAGATTAATCATAAACCAAAAGTAGAAATGTAAAAAGAAAAGCTTACTGCAAACACAATTCTATCCAAACATAGATTTCAAATTTGATATATTATTATTATTAGCAAGTACGGTAGGCTGTGATTGAGTGAGACGGCAAACTATTCATATGATTTTTATTTACCGTTATGTTTCATGCACTCAAAAGGCAAACACAAGAAACGAACCATGACTAATAAATATCAACCGATCTTGACTTAAAATATTCTTCATAAAATAACGTACGCCATCCGACTACGGTACCAGTGACGCCATTTTGAAAATTGAAGTTAGTAACATCACCGATAAAATTTTCCGTCTTGTTGTGTTCGTATGGTTGACAGAAGGAAGTCGACTACTTCAGTCAGCAAAAAAAATATTATATAGTAATAAATATTTTAATGAATATGAAAGAAATTAAAACTGGTTAGATATATATCAATAAACGTTCTGGCACTAATAAAAAATAAATATATTAAGATAAAAGGAACTATTTTGCATCTTAATAATAGTTTAAAAACAAAATTTCAAAAACTAACGTAAATAACAACACACACACACACACACACTATATCAAATTATATATATGTACTTCACGCAGTAATGGGCACTATTTTAAAAGCTTATTTATACAAAGTAGACAATTTAGTTACTTAAGGAAGTAAAAGAATAGTGGGGTGCTTTTGGCACCACCGCCATTTGTTTTTGTTTATAGTTAAACGCAAAGCTACACAGTATGTGTTTTTGTGAGAGAAATTGAAACACGAGACGTTTTTGAAATAATAACTCGTGTCTCCAGACTAATTATATCTGCTAAAAGTCTGTTTCCGAGAGGCAAATTTTGTATGGTTTACGAGTTGACTTGTATAAATTGGCCTTTGGAATAGCACGCAACTCATGAATAGTTTGTTTCGCTTGGTTTCCTAAGAATAATGTACTCGATCTCTTGGAAAGAAAAAAACGACTCAAGTGTGAAGTCCACGCTTGAGGCATTGCGGCTTTCAGCTGATGGAAAAATCCTGCCACAAAAAACAAGTATATATATAGCGTAGGTTTATTTCTGACTGTTTAACAGAGTTCTGACCAAGTCCATTCCTATATCATGTTTATATTGTATTAAATAACGAATCAAGTGTGAAGTCCACGCTTGAGGCATTGCGGCTTTCAGCTGATGGAAAAATCCTGCCATAAAAAAAACAAATATATATATACCTTAGGTTTATTTCTGACTGTTTAATACAGTTCTGACCAAGTCCATTCCTATATCATGTTTATATTGTATTAAATTTTGTAATTCATTCACTCTATTTTACCATTTCTTCATTAAGTTGAATTAACTTCTCCCAGTGCTCCAAACATCAATCAACACCTGATGAACCAACACCACTGTCAGTTATAGCTTCAGAAACTGTTTTGGGTTTTTCAGTTTCAGACAGAATGCCATCCCTCAACAGCTACTAAAAAAGGGATAGAAGCTTCCTACTGTACAAAAACTGTCTACAAATGGGTTGCAGAGTGGAAAACTGATTGGCTGCAATATAACAAAACCAAACAAGCTACATACTCGTGCCAATTATATTAATAATGTCTGACCAAAACAGCACAGTATACTATTGTACCAAAAATATTAAAAGGAACTCAGTAAAACATCACATGAAGTCAGATACACAAGTGCACTTACTGCTCACCATGTACAGAAAGCTAAAAAGATAAATGAACCAATACATATGGAAAGATGTCTAAAAAAAAAGAAATCTGGTATTCTTGGCAGTTATATAAAAGTTGAAATTTTTTTCAGGAAAGCCTACAAATCATCAATAAGAAGTTATCATTTATTGATTTCCAAAAACCAAAAGAATTGCAGGTAGCCAAAGGCAACTCAATGGGCAAAACCTACTACAATGATAAAGCATATACATATTAGATATTTGTCAGTGAAATTTCTGATACTCTTCTAAATGAATTGCAAGTAACAACAATTGCATGCAGTTGAAATCGTTTCCTCGGTGACTGATTGTAGCACAGAAAGAACCGACACAGAAATTGTGCATGTCTGGAAAATACTTTTATCCTCTCATTGCATATCTCAAACTTTTGAATGTAAAAAAAAAAAAATATGTTAGTATTCTGAAAGCACAGGAGATAGCTTTTCAAGATTGTAGTTTATTGCCTGATGAATATAAATCCATGTTGGTATGTTTTAAAAGCACAGAAGATAGCTTTCCAAGATTGTAGTTTATTGTCTTATGAATATAAATCCATGTTGGTATGCTTAGGAGTGGCTGGTACAAGTGTCAATTTCAGCATTAGATGTGATGTGGGCAAACTGTTAACAGCAGATGTATCATGGATTGTTCAAATACATTGCAAAGCCCAAAAGATTGAATTTGCCCTGAAGAAAGAAAGAAATTAAACTGTCATATACAAGTATGGTAGTTTACATCCTGACATCTGTCTACTTTATCTCCAAAAATTTTAAATGAGGCAGCAAAAAAATAGAAGATGGCTTCTTTAAGTCCAGAAGAGCCAATGAAACAAAACAGTTACAGCATAAGCAATTTACTCTTTCCACACTTCTTAATAAATAGCCACATTTGGAGTATTGTATTCAGTCTTGGGCTATTTACCTTTAAAAGGACATTCAATAGATGGAAAGGGTTCACAGGATGACAGGTTAAGATTTCCAAAATTATTTTTCTTTAAAAAAGAAAGAAACAATTAAAGGTCTTTAGTATTGTTAAGGGAATTGATAGTGATAATGCATCAGCATTTTATGCACTTAGTGGTGAGAATGGTAGGACTAGGGGATACAATATAAATTTTGCCAGGGTAGGAGTCATCTTCAGCTAAGACAGCTTGATTTTTGTAACAGGGTGGTTGGTCTTTGGAATAGGTTGCCTTCAGATGTGGTGGATTCATTTAATTAAAGGGAAAGCTTGATAAATACTTGAATGATAAGGAATGGCTTTGCATATTTTTATTTTTTAAGTTTAATGGATGGAATAGGACTAGGGTAGGAGTCATCTTCAGCTAAGACAGCTATATTTTTTCAAACAGGGTAGTTAGCCTTTTGTAAATGGGTTACTTTTGGTTGTAATGGATGCAGTGAATTTAATTGAGTTTAAAAGAAGGCTTAATAAATATTTGAATGATAAGGGCTTGCTCTGAATGTTTTAATTTCATTTTAAATTATAGTTTAGTGGATGGGACGGCCTGTATGGACCAACAGGTTCCTCGTTGTCTTTAAATTATATGCATGTATATGTAATTATAATTTTGCACATTGAAAATGTTTCTTAGGACAATGAAAAGCCTGGCAAAAACACGGCAGTAGTGTGTGTGTGTGTGTGTGTGTGTGTGTGTGTGTGTGTGTGTGTGTGTGTGTGTGTGTGTGTGTGTGTGTGTGTGTGTGTGTGTGTGTGTGTGTGTGTGTGTGTGTGTGTGTGTGTGTGTGAACTTCTCAAAAAACTCAAGAGTTTAAAATTATTTTTTCTACCTCAGGACATGTTCAGAGAAATCAGTAAAGTTTTCTTATTGTTTCAACAAAATGACATCACTATCCTCAGTTCCTTAGCTAAACTACTAAGTGCAGAGACCACGTTTCTTTTCATTTAAGATGAGGAAGATCCCATGGAAACGGAGCTCTGATATACATGTAAGAACAGCTAATTGAAGTGTCACTCACAAAACAATGTAAAAACTAAATCAGATCAAGCAGAAGACAAAAAGATTTTTGTTATTAGTTATCAAAGATGCATTGGACAAATACTAAATACAGGTGACTTTGCTGAGAGAAATTTTATACTAACAAGC